CGCTGTGAAGAGTTTCAATTGGTTTTTCGTCAGCCGGCATGTCGAAATATAGTAAAATGGAGATGTAAAAAAACAGAATGAGTTTGAGAAACAATTTTTATTACGACTATGATTAAATTTTACTGAGTTTCAGGTAGAAAACACGGAAATCAGTGAAGTATCGAGCGATGCGAGCGATCAGAAGCAGAGAAGAACGATCGATGATGGCATTCGTGTTTTATAAATTGAAATTTTGTTTAAAAAATTATAGACTCTGGATTTTTGAGAAACAGATGATTCAAAAAATATGCGAATGCCATTGAAACTTCGATTGTTCGCATCGCTCCACTTTTCTTTCGATTCTTTAGCACCCTCTTACTGTCTCGTTTCTGACTATATAAATTACAAGAATAATAGGATGATTATTAGAATTGTTTTCTCTTTTTTTTCAGATTTTCAGAAAAAAATTTAGTCTGAAATTTTCAGTCCAAATGGCGACTCCAACTGAAATTGCCTATAATCGGGCCGCCCTGATTGAAAGTCTGGAATTCACGTTTTTGATGGATGAGGTCGGAAAACATCTGTCCGAAGCGATTTGCGGATTCGGTGGGTTACTGTAGTTTTTTGAATTTTTGAATATTTTGGGATTACTGTATATTCTACATGTTTTGTTTTGGGTGACCGTAGGAGGCTATTCTGTAGGGATAGCGAGTTACTGTAGGGTGTGATAAAAGTTGTGTAGGTAAAGCTACTGTGCTTTGAGGATTATTGTAGTTTAGTTGGTGACTACTGTATTTTGACTTTTGATTTCTGTATTCGAATTAAGGATTACTGTAGTTTACACGGGAATTTATGTAGTCTGGTTTAGGACTACTGTAGTTTAGTCGAGGATTACTGTACTTGAATCAGGGGCTTCTGTACTTTAATTTCGGATAAGTTTGGAATAGTTTAGTACTGTACGGACCTTGAGGTAGGCAACTGTGGGGATTACTGTAGACTACGGAGGGATAGCGCTGAATTACTGTAGCTTAACTGGGGATTACTGTAGTTTAGTTGGGAATTACTGTAACTTTCCGAAAATTCGAACTTTTAAAAATCCCAATTTTCGGAAATTCAATTTTTCAAATACCAATAGGAAAATGAATTTTTTCAAAAGCTCGGGAAATTTCTAGATTTTTTTCTGGCATTTCTGAAATTTCAGAACTTTCTTTTCAAATCTGAAAAAAACCATATTTTTGTTTTCTAAAAATAACAGGATCTTTCCCAAATTCTGTCCAAAAATGACCTTTCTAGCTCATCTGGGAGCCGAGATAGAGTTGTTTGAAGGTTGGGAGGTTAGAGACGCCAGATTACTCTGAATTTAGTATCAAATTGTTCCTTATGACATTCCACATATTTTTGTTTTAATTTCAAACATCTAGCTCATTTAGGACCCGAGATACAGTCATTCAAAGTTTAGGAGGCTAGAGACGCAGTGTGTCTCGTTGTCTGCGTCTCTCGCCTTCAAAGCTTAAAATCGCTATATCTCAGCTACTAGAAGAGCTAGAAAGTTGGTTCTTGAACAGAATTGAGGGGAACAATTTATATTTTCTGTTTGCACTTTGAAATGTCTGAAAATTTGGAAAAATATTCTGATAAATATTTATTTTGAGACAAAAAAAAAGTTTAGAATCCTTTTTTTCGAATTCATGCCCGAGACAACGAGACACACTGCGTCTCTAACCTCCCAGCGCTTCAAATCGCTGTATCTCGTCTTCTCGATGAGCTAGAAACTTGGTTTTTGGACAGAAATGTAAACTTTGATTTCTGTTTTCTTTTGAAATAAAGTTATTTTTAGGAATAATTCTGAATCTCCTCCTAATCTACGTCATCTGCCTCCGCACTCCTGTCCACATGAAATCCTACGCCGTCCTGCTCTTCAACTTTGCAATTTTCGACCTTTTGACTTGTATTGCTTCTCTTCTCGCCTGCCAAAAAACCATTTTCTCCGGATTCTCGCTGACCTACATCTTCCATGGTCCGTGTAAATATGTGGCCCCATGGCTATGCTACTTTTGCCACTGCTTCGTCTGTCACGCAATGGCTCACTCTCAATGGATTCTGCTGGTACGGTAGCTGTATCTAGGATTTCTGTAGTTTTCGAAATTTCCAGATCTCATTTATTTATCGCTACCGTATCCTTGTGGACACCGCGCCCAGTGTCAAGACCATGTCAATGATCGTCACAGGGTTCTACTCAACGTCGTTTATAGTTTTTGTGAGTGTTGGGATGAAATGTTTGAACTAAAAATATGAAAATGGAATTTGGCGTGGCTAAAGCTTCAAAATGAGTATAAACAAGCCTATTTTAAAAATTTTGGCCTTTTGGGCCGAATGACATAAAATGGTTTAGGCCATAACTGCTCGAGAAAGCAGTAGCAACACTCAAAATTAAAATATTCAGTTGGAACAGGTTAAAAGCTTCAAAATGAGTATAAACAAGCCTATATTTGAAAAATTACGATTTGGGCCCAAACGGCCTAGAATGGTTTTCAGGCCATAACACGGCTCAGATCAGAATTTTAGCTTAGAATTTTTATTGCTCAACTTGTGATAATGAGAGCTTCAAAATGAGTATAAACACTTCTATATTTGGTATTTATAGATTTTCGGGCCTAAATGGTCTGGAAGGCTTTTCAGGCCATAACTCGGCTTAAGCTAGATTTTGAGACTTGAAAATGGTCTTACTCAATTTAAGAAAATAAGAGCTTCCAAATGACTACAAACAAGCTTTTATTTGGCATTTTTGGGTTTTCGAATCAAAACGGCCTAGAATGGTTTTCAGGCCATAACTCGTCTCACAATAGATTTTGAGACTTAGGATATTTAAAAAAAACCCCGAAATGGTTTTTAGGCTATAACTGACCTGTCAAGTGGCAGAGACGACTGAAACTTGAATAATTAGTTTTACAAGGTAGGAAGCTTCAACATGAGTATAAAAAACGCCTGCTTTCTCGACTTTTCAATTTTTGGCCTAATCCGGCCCAAAAAGCCCGAAACCGAAACTTGCTCAAAATAGGGCAAGAGTATATTCATTTTTTCATTTTAAAGCTATCGACAAAGCAAATCGAGCTATGCTATTTACAGCTCTTCTACTATCTGGATATGGGAGATACCGAAGCTTTGAAACAGATCATGTACGACCTCCATCCAGATAACCATTATGAAGACGTGACAATCTGGGGAAGTAAGTAAAGGACATCTGCACACACAGAGCTACAGGCAGAAAATTTCAGATTTGACCGTCAGCGGAAATACGACGATTTTCACTATCCCATCGCTCACCGCTATCATCTATATGACCGTAACCTGCGTTCCAATCTACTTTCTGATTCATTGGTGCCGGAATAGAGTGGGCGGGGCTTGAATTTTTCAATAATTTTGCAATTTCAGACTCTGAGCATCTTGGCGAGCAGCGCTTGCAGCATGTCCGAAACCACCAAGGCATCTCATGCGAAATTGATTTTGGTGGGTTCAGCTTTGAGCTTTGAAGCTTGAAAGTGCTTCATTTAAATTTCTTTTGTTAAAAGCTTTAAAATGAGTATACTCTTGGTCTAATTTTTTTTTTGGTTTTGGGCCCTTTTGGGCCGGATTAGGCCCAAGATCTATAAATATTAAACATAGCCTCGTTCATACTCATTTTGAAGCTTTAATTTTGCTCAACGGAATAACAGGAATTTTAAGTTTCAAAATCTAGTCTGAGCCAAATTATGGCCTAAAAACCATTTCGGGCCGTTTTGGCCCGAAAAACAAAAAACGTCAAATATAGGATTATTTATATTCATTTTAAAGCTCTTATTCTTTTAAAATGAGTGATATAAATTTGAAAGCTCAAAATCTAATTTTTGCCGAGATGTGGCTTGAAAACCATTCTAGGCCGCTTAGGCCGAAAATTCAAAAATATCAAATATAGGTTTGTTTATACTCATTCTTAAGCTCGCAATTTTTAAAGTTCAGCTGTGCAGTTTTTGAATCTCAAAATCTAGTCTGTGCTGAGTTATGGCCTAAAATCCATTTCAACCTATTTAGGCCCAAAAATCCGAAAATCTCAAATCTAGGCTTTTTTATACTCATTTTGAAGCTCTCCTCCTTTCAAACTGAGTAATCAAAATTTTAAAGCTCAAAATCAAACTTATGCCAAGAGATGGCCTAAAAACCATTCTAGGCCCATTAGGCCGGAAATCGAAAAATCTCAAATATAGGCTTGTTTATACTCATGTTGAAGCTTCTAACCTGTTGAGACTGACACTTTTACTTTTAACCGTCTTCGCTTCTTTTCGGGCCAGATATGGCCTAAAAACCATTCTAGGTCCATTAGGCCGAAAATCAAAAAATCTCAAACCTATGCTTGTTTATACTCATTTTGAATCTCTCATTGAGCCGAATTCAAATTTCCCATCCATAAATTTTAGGCCCTCTCCATCCAAGCCACAATCCCATGCTTCTGGCTCCTGGCCTCGGCGATCTTCACTCTCGCCGAGTTCGGCGTCATTTCCGGTCCGATTCCTGAAAATATGACTTTCCGGCTAATGGACTGTATTCCATCGTCCAGTCCTCTCGTCGCCTTCATTTTCATCGCTCCGTACAGGTAATTCTAGGCCGGCAACAAAATTTTTTTAAATTTTTCCAAAATTATCTTCTTTGCATGTTTTAGACCTCCTTGGCGAAGGTAGGAACCCCCTTCTGCATGTCCATCTGTGTGTCTGTTTATCCCGCAAGTAAGTAGAAATGTCCCTCTGTGCATCCCGATGTACTTTAAAAAAGTTTGAAAAAGAATAAAAAACTTGTGCCACCTAAGGGGATCGAACCCCCGGCCTTCTGCATGACGGGCAAAAGCGTAAGCCATTACTCTACGCGCGCACACTTACCCGAAAGTGGTGGACGGCGTAGATAAAGATGGGAGCGCGCGGGAGTTTTTGAAAGGGGAAGGGGAATTTTAAAAAATTTTTAAAAAGCCCTGAATTTATTTTTCAGAGAAGGCCTAATGCGTCTAATCTCGAAAACTGGCATCTATCGGAAATCGACACAAAACCAAGTTTCCAGTGTCGTCGAGGTTTGTAGTCTTTGTAGTCTTTGTGGTTTCATTTTTTGAGTTTTGGAAATTGTATTTTAGAAAACTCAAAATTTGGGAATTCAGCCGACCACCCAAGCGACCGTCCAGTCCACCAACCAACAACGTGCGAGAGATTTGGCATGAATTCGAACAAAAAAAATTGATTCTAAACTTTGTTTTCGTCTCAAAATAAATATTTTTTAGATTAGTTTTTCCAAATTTTCAGGCATTTCAAAGTGCGAACAGAAAATATACATTGTTCCCCTCAATTCTGTTCAAGAACCAACTTTCTAGCTCTTCTAGTAGCTGAGATATAGCGATTTTAAGTTTTGAAGGCGAGAGACGCAGACGACGATACAAACTGCGTCTCTCGCGCGCGGCCAGAGAGACGCAGACAGCTAGAGTGTCTAAACTTCAAATGGCTATATCTCGGGTTCTAGAAGTGCTAGAAAGTTGGTTCTTTGACAGATTTGAAGAGAAAATTGTCTATTTTGCATTCACATTTTAAAATCTGAGAAATGTCTTTTTTTAAGTTCGGAATTTCTAAAATTTTGAAGATTTCTATCAATGCAGCGACCTAAACATTGAAAACACAAAATTGAGACAAAAAAAACCATATTTTTGAACCAGAAACTATTTATTTTGATCAGAAAAATTGAATTCAGAGCTCAAAAAAAAAAAATATCTCGAAAATCCCAATAAATTTAATTCCAAACATTTTTCTTTATATGCTCATCCATTGTTTGACGAGTACTTGTGACTTGTTGAATTTTTGTAATCCGGCTAGAATGGGACAATCGGATACGGTAGACCAGGAGAATCGGGAAGAGAGAGAGGCGGCGAAGGGAATTGTCTGAAAAATGCAAAATTTTATGAAATGCGCTCCACAGACAACTTACATATAACCAAATGACAATAAAATAGTACTGCTCCCATGTGAAAATTTCTCGAAAAGATTTCAGCTTAAAAATTCCGAATGAATAAACAAACATGAAGATAAATTGAATGAGAGCCAGAAAACAAATGGTTTCGGTTGAATCTAAAACCTCTTGTTTACGAAATCGTGGACCAACCACAAATGGTGTTCCGAAAATTATATTTTAAAATGTAAACAGAAAGAAGACAATTTTCTCTTCAATTCTGTCCAAGAACCAACTTTCTAGCTCTTCTAGAACTCGAGATATGTCGATTTGCAGTTTTCAGGGCGAGAGACGCAGACAACGAGACACGCTGCGTCTCTCGCGCGCGGCAAGGGAGACGCAGACAGCTAGAGCATCTAAATTTCAAATGGCTATATCTCGGGTTCTAGAAGAGCTAGAAAGTTCGTTTTTGTATAGAATTGGAGTGAAAAACTTCTGAAACTTTTATCTTTCACTGAAAATGAAAGTTTTTCTGGATTTTTTTTAAATAATCAAGAAAATCTGGGAAAACCTCTTGAAACCACACTTGTAACGGGCCGGGCCGGGGTTTTTTTTTTCCATATTTCGAAGGCGCGGCCAGTCGTTTCACAAGTTTTTAAATTTTCAAAAAACACATAAGGGGTTTTCAAGTAGGCTCGAAATCGATATTTCTATCACAAAAATTGTTTGAAACTTATTCGGATATTTTTTCCAAATTTTCAGAATTTCAGCTGTAAACACAAAATAGGCATTTTTCTCTCCAATTCTGCTCAAAAACCAACTTTCTAACTCTTCTAGAACTCGAGATATAGTGATTTGAAGTTTTCAGGGCGAGAGACACAAACAACGAGACACACTGCCTCTCTCGCGCGCGCCAAGAGAGAAGCAGACAGCTAGAGCGTCAAAATTTCAAATGGCTATATCTCGGGTTCTAGATCAGCTAGGGACTTGGTTTTTTGACGAAAATGAACCTTAGAAATTGGGAAAAATGATGAATGTATCAAATTTTAGAAGATATTTTTCTGGTTTCCTGAAATCCCAGATTTTAAGGGATTATCCGATGTTCTTTGTTTTTGTTCTTGTCTAGTCATTAATGCACTCAGCTTTTTGATTGTTCGTGAGACAATTCCAGAATTTCCTAAATTATTTTTATTTTCCCAGAAGGTTCCAGAAGTTCCTTTTTTGATTTTCCAAATTAATAGAATTTTTGCCTGTGTAGTTTCTTGCGAAAATACTGATAAAAAACTGGGAGAAAAAGTAAAATTTCAGTGAACCGGAAAACTAAAGTTTTGGATCAACACCAATGATTCACGTCATCAGAGGAAGATGAAAATTTTCAAATTTTGAATCTTCTCACGAATTCTCATAAAAGAAAGAAATGAGTGCAATTATGACAAAACCAGGAACGAAATAATCAAAATCGGAATTTGCAAAAAAGTTTGAAAGAACTAATTTCTGGAAATCTGGAAATTTTCCAAAAAATTCAAGCAAATCCGAACAATCAAAAATTTCTAAAACTCTGAACTCTATTTTTGATACATTCATCATTTTTCCCAATTCTTGAGCTTCATTTTCGTCAAAAAACCAAGTTTCTAGCTTTTCTAGAACCCAAGATATAGCCATTTGAAGTTTAGACACTCCAGCCGTCTGCGTCTCTCTTGTCGCGCGCGAGAGACGCAGTGTGTCTCGTTGTCTGCGTCTCTCGCCTTCAAGACTTCAAATCGTTTTATCTCGACTTCTAGAAAAGCTAGAAAGTTGGTTCTTGGACAGAATTGGAGAGAAACTAAATAGACAAGAAAATTTTAATTCCGAAAATCAGAAAAGGGACTTCTAGAACTTTCTGGGAAAATAAAAATAATTTGGGAAATTACGGAAATTTCTCACGAAAAATCAAAAAGTTGAGTGCATTAATAGACGAATTGGGAAATTCGAAAATTCAAACTCCCCAAACGAGTGATTTCCCAATTGTGAGCGCATTCCATGGCGACTTTTTTGGGTCTGAAAATTTGAACTTTGGGAAAAAAAAATTTTTTTGAGTTTCAGAAAAATAGTAGGTCTTCAAAAATTCGAAAAAAGAAGTTTGGAATATTCCGGAACTTTTTGCAGTTAAAAAGTTTGATTTTTTGAAATTTTTTGAATTTCAGAATTTCAGAATTTTGAAATTTTCGGATTTTTGAGTTCTTGGATGTTGAATTTTTAGTTTTTAGAGCAATCTGAAAATTAAAAAAAATTTTTTTTTTGGAAAAATTTCAAATTTCAAGAAATTCGGAACTTTCCGGAACTTTTCTGAATATTAGAAACTCAATATATCAGAATTTCAGAATTTCAGATTCTCAGAATCTCAGAATCTCAGAATCTCAGAATTTCAGAATTTCAGAATCTCAGAAATATTCAGAATTTCAGAATCTCATAATCTGAGAAACTCAGAATCTCATAATCTCATAATCTCAGAATCTCTGAGTTTCAGAATTTCTGAATTTCTGAATATCAGAATCTCAGAATCTCAGAATACAGAATCTCAGAATTTCTGAATTTCTGAATTTCCGAATTTCTGAATTTCTGAATTTCTGAATTTCAGAATCTCAGAATCTCAGAGTCTCATAATCTCAGAACCTCAGAATCTCAGAGTCTCATAATCTCAGAATCTCAGAACCTCAGAATCTCAGAATCTCAGAATTTCAGAATTTCAGAATTTCAGAATCTCAGAATTTCAGAATCTCAGAGTCTCATAATCTCAGAATCTCAGAACCTCAGAATCTCAGAATCTCAGAATTTCAGAATCTCAGAATCTCAGAATTTCAGAATTTCGGAATTTCAGAAAACTTTTTTTTGGAAAATGAAATCTCGAAGAACGAGTGATTTTAAGCACATTCAACGCTCATTCATCTAGAAAATCCCTTTTAACTTTATACTCCCCCCACGACCTCCTACTGACCTCCTTTTTCTGGCTCACTTAATTTGGAAATCATAATAAAAAATCTAAAAATAACTTTTTAAATGAAAATTCAAAAAAAAAATTTATTTAGAGATAAAAATTCCAGAACCTTCTCTGAAAAGCAAAATAATGAGTAAATTCTTCTGATTTTTCTAGACATCTCCGAAAACTTTTGACTCACTCGTGTGGAAATTTTCCCTTCCCGGTACACATTGGAAAATCAGCAATCGAATTTTTTTTCATAAATTTTGAGACTTTCGAATTTTTGGATATTTTAAACAAATGAGGAAGATCTGCAGAAATTGATGATCAGAGATTAATTTGATTATTTTCGAAAAATCAGAAATTAAAAATTAAAAGTTGGTGGGTGGAGGTGATTGAAATTTTAAAAAAACACACATTTTCAGGCTTCGCGTCACTTCGAAACCGGACATTTCGAAACTATGTGACACTTCGAAACCAGTCAGTTCGCAACCAGTCATTTCGAAACTGCGACACTTCGAAATCAGTCAGTTCGGAACTATGTGACACTTCGAAACCAGTCAGTTCGCAACCAGTCATTTCGAAACTGCGACACTTCGAAATCAGTCAGTTCGGAACTATGTGACACTTCGAAACCAGTCAGTTCGCAACCAGTCATTTCGAAACTGCGACACTTCGAAGCCGGGCATTTCGAAACCAGTCAGTTTGAAACCAGTCAGTTCGAAACCGGACGTTTCGAAACTAAGTGGCACTTCAAAACAAGTCATTTCGAAACCAATCATTTCGAAGCTGCGACACTTCGAAACCAGTCATTTCGAAACCGCGTCACTTCGAAATCAGTCAGTTCGGAACTATGCGACACTTCGAAACCGGGCATTTCGGAAATATGCGACACTTCGAAATCAGTCAGTATGAAACCAGTCAGTTTGAAACCAGTCAGTTCGAAACCGCGACACTTCGAAACCAGTCATTTCGAAACTAAGTGGCACTTCGAAACCAGTCATTTCGAAACTATGTGACACTTCTAAACCGGGCATTTCGGAAATATGCGACACTTCGAAATCAGTCAGTGTGAAACCAGTCAGTTTGAAACCAGTCAGTTCGAAACCGCGACACTTCGAAACCAGTCATTTCGAAACTATGTGACATTTCGAAACCAGTAATTTCGAAACCGGGAATTTTGAAACCGGTCATTTCGAAACTAAGTGGAACTTCGAAACCAGTCAGTTCGGAACTATGTGTCACTTCGAAACCAGTAGCTCGAAACCGCGACACTTCGAAACCAGTCATTTCGAAACTATGTGACACTTCGAAACCGGGCATTTCGGAACTATGCGACACTTTGAAATCAGTCAGTACGCAACCAGTCAGTTCGAAACCGCGACACTTCGAAACCAGTCAGTTGTACATTTAGTAGTTTCTAAATGACTAGTTTCGAAGTGTCGCGGTTTCGAAGTGACTGGTTTCGAAGTAGCCCATTTTCAGAAAGAACGTCTGTGAAAAAATCTGAAAAAAAGATGAATTTAGAAAATTCAGAACAGCGAACATCAAAAAGTTTTTGAAATTTCATAATTTCTAACTTCAATTTCAAAAAAAATGAAATTCTGGAATTCTGAAGTTTATTTAAATTTTTGAATTTTCAAATTTTTGAAATCCTGAAATTTCTGAAAATTCAACAAATTTCTAACCCATTTTTTCGTATTTTTTTTAACTACACAAAAATCCTCGTGGTTTTGAACTTAAAATTCTATAGATTTTCAAAAATCCAAAATTATTAAATTCATTTTTTAAATAAAATATTGAAAATCAGTTGCAAAAACGATGCAAGGAGGAAGAAGAGATAATTGGATAACGATTCAAATCATTAATTTTTTGATTTTTGGAATTTCTGTTCAAGCTGGGAAACCAAATATTACGGTAGGTCATTGTTATAATTTCGCAAAAAAAAAAATTAAAAATTACAAATTTTTGAATTTTCGGTTTTTTCAATTTTCAACTCAAAATTTTCAGCTCTGTCGTGATGTCCCATCGACATGGTCCAACATCTCAACACCAGAAGTAGTTGTGCTCCGTGAGCACAATCTAGACGACATTCGAATGACGTCAGCATTAGACGACGTGGAATGTTGGATTCAGAAGAAGTTCCACGTGGCAAATCAAGAAGTGGTGCGAGTGGAAACGAAAGGAGATAATGAGACAATTTGCTACGCGATTAGTACGGTAGATGTGAAGAGAGGACAAATGATTGTGGTGATTAGTGAAGGACAAAGTGCTCAGAATTGTACACCGAATATTTATGGACCACTTCCCAATGTTTTGAATGTAAGGAGGGATTTTAAAAATATGTTTGAAATATCTGGAATTCCAGAAAAATTAGAAAATCTGAAAATTCCAAAAATTTCCAAAAATTCTGGAATTCTGGAATAGAGAAATTCTGAAAATCGAATATTCTGAAATTCGGAAATTCTGAAATTCTGAAATCCTGAAGTTCTGAAATTCTGAAATTCTTAAATTCGGAAATTCGGAAATTCTAAAATTCCGAAATTCTGAAATTCGGAAATTCTGAAATTCTGAAATTCTGAAACTCTGAAATTCTGAAATTCTGATTTCAGATCAAAATGTTCATCGACGGATCAAAAAACTCCTCAGTTCGTCGCATGGAAATTTCGTTTCAAAACCCGGTGGCCATTTGGGTGTCCAATTTGATTTTCTCGNGGAGGACAGTGGTTTCGAAAATCCAGAAAACGATTCGATTCTTTTTTGAATTGAATTCTGAAAATTCGGAATATTCTGAATTGATTTCTGGAAACTTTTGGACCCCAAAAATTCGGCTGCCACCTGCCACGTGGCAATTTCAGAAAATTATGGAAAAAATGGACCAGACGATTCCGTGGTGGGTGATACTGTCGGTGATGCCAATGGTCTTCTTTGGAATTTCGGTTTCGTGCTATTTGGTTATTCAACCGGTTTGTTTTCTTCTTAATTTTTGAAACTCTGAAATTCTGAGATTCTGAAATTCTGAGATTCTGAGATTCTGAGATTCTGAGATTCTGAAATACTGAAATTCTGAAATCCTGACATTCTGAGATTCTGACATTTCGAAGTTATCGGAATTTTTCGATAATTTGAAAATTATAGAATTTTCGGAATGTTCGGGATTTCTGTATTTTTCTAAAATTTCTGGAACTTTTGGAATTTTTCAGATTCCTCGGAATCTCTGAAACTTTCGTAATTTTAAAGCTCTGGAATTTTAGAATTTTCCGATTTTTTCTCGAGACTTTCACATTCTTCGAAAATTTTGAATATAGAAATTTTTTTTTCGAAATATCTTTTTCGAAAATTTTGGTTATTCTGATATGTCGGGATATCAATTTTTCAAAAAATCCAAAAAATTGAAAATTCCAAAAATTCAAGAATTCAAGAATTAAAAATCAAAATATATCTGAAATCTAAAATTCTGAAATTGCAAACACACAATTTCGAAATTTGATCAAATTCAGAATCCCGGAATAACTAAAATTTCAGAAAAACTTTAGAAAAATCAGAATGTTGGAGAATGTTGAGGATATCAAAATTCTCGTAATTTCATAATTTTTTAATTTTCCAAAAAATCTGAAATTCCTTTCAGCGTGGCGGTCTAACATACACCGACGAAGAAGTCGATTTTCAAATTCAAGAAGTCGATTCGGCTTCTCGTGTCAACGTCATCCAACCACCAGCACCTCTTCAGAATCTCTCATTTAAAACTGCTCAAGCTCTGCCACGAACGTCTTCAAAAACGACGACGTCGTCTTCTGAATCAGATGACGTGGAACCACCGATGAGAACGGCCAAGGAGGAGACAGAAAACCACCCGAAAACTGCAATTTCCGGAGAGATTCCCGAAAAAATGAATACAGCAATTTCGGAAAAATCAACGAAAACTATGCGTCTATCGGCTACTGTAACTAATACTACTGCTGGAAATTCGGCTGAAACGATTTCTTTGAAAACTGGAAGAGATTAGAATAAATGTTTTTTTTTCTCTTGAATTTGGATTTTTTGGATTTCTCAAGAAATTCGAAGTTTTGGAACTTTTGAAAATTTTCGGAATTTGGAATTTAGGATCTTTGTTTATTGTCAGATTTTTTTTGAGTAGGAATTTTCGATTTTCGGATTCTGAAACTTTGTGCTTCTGAAATTGTGAAGTTCTGAAATTCTGAAATTCAGAGATTCTGAGATTCGGAAATTCTGAAATTCTGAGATTTTGAGATTCCAAGATTTTAAGATTTTAAGATTCTGAGATTCTGAGATTCTGAGATTTTGAGATTCCAAGATTCTAAGATTTTAAGATTCTGAGATTCTGAGATTCGAAAATTCTGGGATTCTGAGACTCTGAGAATCTGAGATTCTAAGATTTTAAGATTCTGAGATTCTGAGATTCTGAGATTCCGAGATTCTGAGATTCTAAAATTTTGAGATTCTAAGATTCTAAGATTTTGAGATTCTGAGATTCTGAGATTCTGAGATTCGGAAATTCTGAAATTCTGAGATTTTGAGATTCCAAGATTCTAAGATTTTAAGATTCTGAGATTCTGAGATTCTGAGATTTTGAGATTCCAAGATTCTAAGATTTTAAGATTCTGAGATTCTGAGATTCGAAAATTCTGAGATTCTGAGACTCTGAGAATCTGAGATTCTAAGATTTTAAGATTCTGAGATTCTGAGATTCTGAGATTCCGAGATTCTGAGATTCTAAAATTTTGAGATTCTAAGATTCTAAGATTTTGAGATTCTGAGATTCTGAGAACTGAGATTCTGAGATTCTGAGATTCCGAGATTCTGAGATTCTGAGATTCTGAAATTTTGAGAATTTTTGAATTTTAGAATTTCCAGATTTCAGATTCAGGATTTAGAATTTTTGACATTCTGAAATTCTGAATTTCAGAATTTCGGAATTATTGAAAACTATAAAATCCTGAGAAATCTGGGTTTCAGACCTTAAAAACTTGAAAGCTCTGAAATTTCGAAATTTCAGAATTTCAGAATTTCCCTGAAATAGTTCCCAATTCTCTCCGATCAAAAATCACTGATTATATTTTTTTTTTCGGCGAATCTCATTGTTATTACTTCCTTATCACTTCCTTCCTTGTCTTATCAACTGCCTCTGATCTAATTTTTTCCGTATAAAAAGGATCAGAATATCTGTTGAAAAACAAATTCTTGATTCAAAATGGTTTTTCTCCTATTGCTCATCTTTATTTCTACCGTACTGTCTTCTCAAGAACTGTATGCACCACCAATTCTTGTTGGTGGATCCTATGTGCTTTCTACAAATTACGAAGGAGCCAAAAATTCTTCGACTGGAATTAAAAGATTATTGAATTCTGAAACTGAGGACACATGGCAAGTTTTTCATTTTTGTACAAAAGATGGGCAGAACAAGGACAAGTGTGGCGCATGGGTGGATAAGGTGATTTCGAAATTTTGAAAAATTGAAATTCTGAAATTCTAAGATTCTGAGATTCTGAGATTCTGAGATTCTGAGATTCTGAAATTCTGAGATTCTGAAATTCTGAAACTCAAAAAAATCTGAAATTCAGAAATGTTGAGATTCTGTAACTTCGAGACTTTGAAATTATGAAAATCTGAGATCCTGAGATTCTGAGATTTTGATATTCTGAGATTCTGAGATTCTGAGGTTCTGGGATTCTGAGATTTTGAAATCCTGGATTTCTGAAATTCTGAAATTCTGAAATTCTGAGATACTGAGATTTTGAGATTCTGAAATTCTGAGATATTGAGATTTTGAGATTCTGAGATTCTGAGATTCTGAGATTCTGAGATTCTGAGATTCTGAGATTCTGAGATTCTGAGATTCTGAGATTCTGAAATTCTGAGATTCTGAAATTCTGAGATTCTAAGACCCTGAAATTTGGAAATTCTGAGGTTCTGAGATTCTGAAACTCTTGAAATTTGAAGAATTCTGCATTTCTGAAATTGTGATATTTAGAAAATTCCGAAAAATTCCGAAAAATCTGAAAAGTGCCCAAATTTTTACAAAACTTCGAAAACTTCACTATGTATTTCAAAAATTCTGAAATTTTAAAAAAACTCGAATTTTTCAGAACGGCAAAAAAATCGCGGGAGCCAACAACAATGTGAAAGAAGTGGAGGACGGTACGGAAATTTCAAAAATGCAATTGTCGGATTCTGGAAGATATTCACGTCATCCATCTGATCCAGTGAAGGAAGCTCTGGAATGGGTTGTAGTCTCTGTGCAGGAAGGACCAAAACCACCACCACATACTTATTGATTTTTTTTCCAAAAATTTGTGTAAAATTTTTAATAAAATGTCATACTTTACTTTTTGAAAAAAATCTTTATTAAACTCTAACAAAAAATCCACTAATCAAACAAAATAGATCGGTTGATCTTTCTTAAACTTCCGATGATCCTGCAGCGGATCGATAACACTTGAAGGTCGTGATCCATGCGAACTGACAGATCGGATTTCCTTCTCTTTCTTCAAAATTGGCTCCAATTTGATTTCAGGCGTGCTAATTCTCTCCACCACATCCTCTTCCAACTTTCCATGAACCCAAAATGTTTCCATAACTCCTTTCCCTTTAATTATAACCTCTCCTCGAGAACTAGTCTCATATTGGTGGGGATAATGAGAGGTTAAAAGAGAATGAGCCGCTTCTGACATATGGATTTGAGATGGTTTTCCATTTGATTCCATTCTGGAGGCTGTGTTCACTGTGTCACCGAATAGACAGTAACGGGGCATCGACAAACCGACCACACCAGCTACGCAGGGTCCTGGAAAGTTATAAATTTTACAGAGTTAGGAGCCTTTGTATCTCTCTCACCACTGTTAACACCAATCCTCAATTCGACCTGCTCTCTTGGCAAGTGTGGAATTTTAAATTTCCTACAGTATTCCATAAATTGAAGGGACATGTCCACGATTTGTCTGAAAATCTCAAATTTCAGCAAATGCGCTCTAATGACAAAACAACTCACTTAATATGTGCATAACCATTTCTAGTGGGTAGTCCAGAAACACAAAGATATCCATCACCAATCGATTCGACTTTATAAACGCCGTGCTCTTCGATGATTGTATCAAAATTACTGTACAAATCATTGAGCAAATTCACCACTTGAAACGGTGAACACTTTTGAGATAGTTGTGTGAATTTGACGACATCCGAAAAGAATACGGTCACTGAATCGAATCCCTCCGGTTCCACGGTTTGACCAGCTTTTAGGCGTTCCGCTACTTGTCTGGAATATTGCAAACTCTGGGATAATTTATCAGAAAAATTGGCACGTCATCAGCTTTTTTTTGGCGCAAAAATCAGCTTTCTAGGCCTTCTAAAAGCTGAGGTACCGCTATTTGAAGTTTGGAAGAGACGCAAACGACGAGACTGCCTGCGTCTCTCATTTCTAAAACTTTGAACAACCGTATCTCAGCCCCTAGTGTAGCTAGAAACTTGGTTTTTTTTCCAATTAATACATAAAATTTAGTGTTTCAATAAATTAGTGTCAAATTGTCTGTGCCTCTCCTCCAAATGCCTCTATCTCGATTTCTAATTGCGCTAGAAACTCGGTTTTTGTGCAAACTCGTACCTTGGCAACATTCTGCTCAACAAAATATCTGCCTTCTTCTTCTCCAATGTCAATTCCTTGGTCCTCTCCTCCACCTCCACCTCCAAAGTCTGTGTGTACTCTTCCAACATATTGAACACATGATCCATCAAATTCGATTTCGATTTTGGCTTCAAACTTTTCAGTGTCCCACAAATACTTTCAGAATTCGGACGGTCCTCTGGATCTTCTGCCCAACAATCTTTGACCAAGCGAATGAGGTCTGGGTTCACATCAGGAATGTCGGTGATAAGTTCTGGGCGGATCGGAAATACACCCCCTTTTTTGACCATGTACACAATTTCTGAAAGTTTCGGAATGTGATGGAAAACATAGAGCTTCTAAAATGATGAAGATCATAAAAAAAAGAAGCTTCTAGGTCATCTAGAAGCCGAGATACGGCTCTTAGAAGCTTTGAAGAGACGCAGACAGCTAGCGTGTCTCGTTGTCTGCGTGTCTCCAAAATTTCAAAGCACTGTATCTCGGTGTCTAGCTAACCTAGAAACCTGAACTTTTCTGAACGCCTACCTTCAGAATCCTCCTTCCTGTCCAAAAAATCCCATGCCTCCTTTTTAGTCAATATCTCCGAGGCAACAATTGCAAATGAGTACACATCGGCACTCGGATCCATTTGGGATACTGTAAGTGAGCCACGTAGCACTTCTGGGGCGACCCACAAAAGTCGTTTCTTGGGTGGGATCTCATTTTCGACAAGATTTTCAATTCCGAATTCGGCGAGCTTCACTTGCCAGGAGTCATTTACAAGACAGGTGGCGGAACGGAGGTTTCCATGGAGGCGGAGGAAGGATTTGTGGAGATAGTTGAGACCCTGAAAGTTTAAAACTTTATAAAGATGAAAAAATATTTTATGAGGATTTAAACTCAGCTATCAGAGCTCAAATCGGTCAATTTCAGGCCAAGTTACAGCGATTTAACTTTTAGATCAACTTGCTAAAAACGCATTGAAAAATGTAAGGATAGAAAACACAATAAAATTTCAGACAATTCAGTAGAAAAATCAAGCGGTCCATAATTTCGACTTTTTCAGATTCAAAAAAAAATTAGAGCTTGTGATTTTGGATTCAAAAAAATTGACATGTCATCAGCTCTGTTTGGCGCAAAAATCAGCTTTCTAGACCGCCTGGGAGTCGAGATATAGCCAATTGAAGTTGTGAAGAGACGCAGGCAGTTAGGGTGTCTCCTTGTCTGCGTCTCTAGTCTCTAAAGCTTCAAAACACTATCTCGGCCGTTGATTTGATGCAAAAATCAACCTTCTAGCTCTTCTAGAACCCAAGATAGGACCACTTGAAGTTTCCGAGGTTAGAGACGCAGTGTGTCTCGTCGTCTGCGTCTCTAGCCTCCTAAACTTTGAATCGCTGTATCTCCGCTCATAGAAAAGCTAGAAAGTTGGTTTTTCTTGTAAATCACCCAATTTAGAACAAGTTTTCTGGTCATATATGTAGTTTTCATTTGAAAAAAAACTTTGAAAAAAAA